ATAATGAAATCCAAACACCTAGAAACACTGGCCTTCAAGAAAACGTCAGTAGGTACGACTATTTTACTGACAGCAGTTAATAATTTGAGTTGCATGAGTGATTTAGTAACTTAAGAAAATCCAAAGGTTACTCCTATAAATGGTTTAATAATTGAATGACTTAAAATATATGCAAATGATACACACTGTTAGAATTCATCATGAACCTTGTTCCAATTGTAAAACTCCCAAAGATAACAGTGACAATTAAGTCCAAGAATAAGGTTTTCTACTGAACCTTTTTTAACAAACTAGATCTGATAACATTCTACAGTACTAGGTTAAGTTCACTTTTAGTAACAAATTAATTTTTGTTTAAAAAAGACACAATGTTAATTATCCTATCAACTTTAGCCTTTACTATTGGGTTTTAAAATTTAAATAAACTATTTTAAACCCATCACCATTAAATTTTAAACATGATCAAACATGGTAAATATTAAGTAGGCAATGACAAAGAAGTATATTAAAAAATTCCTACTCAAATCAATCATGGAAATTAGAATGTAACATTTTTGAAATCACAAAAATTTGCCATCATGTAAAGAGAGTGTGTGATGAACTGTGGTAAAAAGTATGCAATAAAAACTAAACAGGCTTGTGATTAAACACAGCTATATTTTAAGGTTAGAAGACAACATGGATAGAAAAATAATTTGTAACTGCAGTTCTACTGATGTTAAATTTGTTTTCCTTCTCACCACAACAGAGTTGCTATCTGTAATATACAAACTTAGTTCACCATATATATTTATAAGCAGGTCCTAAATTTCCCTAACAGTTGCAGATGTTTTAAAACTTCACTTGAAAACTGCATTGGTCTTGGTCAGTCAAAGCAAGGTGATAAAAGTTCTTTGAAGGATCCATATCTAAAAGTATCGAGCAGAATAATCTTTTGTCAAAACAGTTATTACTATGCAAGCAACATAAAACGCCCATAAAACTGCATCCAATGGTTATTACACCACACCCAAGAGACCCATCCTTTACTGTCAAAACTAACAACAATAAAATAAAGATATAAATATTCGGCTGTAGAAAGAGGCAAGTTTACATAAAAGCTTTTCCTGGCTTAGCAAGTAGTTATCATGCAAAGATAAAATGTTCTTGGCAATATTGTAATGCAGTTTTGAGTTGAGACCTTAAAACTAAGTGATGACCTTACTCTTGACTTAGCCTGCAAATTTTATATTGACAAAAGAAATAATGTAAAGGTACATAAAAGATATCATTGAAAGTTGTCAGTAAATAGTCTTTAACATCTTTAACCTTTATGTGTACCCCATTATTACATAGCTTGAACATAAAAAAAGTTATTTGCCCAGAAATGTTATATTCTCAAGTTCACATGAAATTTTTTTGTTTTTTATCTAATGATTTCATCGACATGTTGTCAACATTTTTTCTTTTACGTTGAGAGGATTTGGTAAAGGAGTTGAGCTTGTAAGAGGAAATTAAGAAAATGAACTAAAATAAAAAGTATAAAAGCGTATATTTGAGTTTTCAAGACCAATAAAGGCAAATTAATTTTGCATTCAAGGCGAATAAGAACCTAGAGAACAGTAGAAAACAAAAAATAGAGCATAAGATTAAAATCTTCCCTCTATTTAGTAATAGTGCAAAGAAAGGGTCTGCAGGCCAGAATCGTATACTTCGGGCCAAAATCGGGTTGATTTGGAAATTGTAATTCTACAACCAATGGTACATGATCTCCCCATATCGCTGTAAAATCGTCAGTGGGCACGGGGGAATTGTGAACATCTTCTCCACCATGACAAAATCAAAATATCTTCCTCTGTCAAGGCGAAACTGAGAAAATTTTCCTCAACACGGCAGAATCAAAAGTACATCTTCCCTGGTCACGGCGAAATCAAATTCATCTTCTCTGGTCACGGTGACATCTTCTTCCCCAGTGACAGCGAAATCGTAAACAACTTCCCCAATCACCGGTAAAATGACCCAATCCGACCGAAAATATCAGGGACCTGCAGACAACTACTGATAAGTAATTTTATGATGTGCATGTAACTTGTATGATAGGGACAAGTTGATTCTCTGTAACCACTCTGTACATCACCACCTAGATACACATACCTTGCTTGAGGCTATCCTTTTAGGTTGATATTATTCTGAACATATTTACTCAAGGGAAATTAAAAGGTTGTGGTTGATCAAATTAGGCAATAGCAGTGGCAATACTAGTTAGTTATAATGGTGTTTATGTCCATCCAGTGAAATAGTCAATAAAGTTCTCACCGATGACAGAGTGACGTGAATCATTTTCTTGATGTAATTTAACAAAACTCTGACAGCATCGTGATTGAGTTGCTGGAACTACCATCTTATAATTCCACTTTCAATTTCATTAGGAATGATCACTTATCGCTAAATATGGGTATAAGTAAACTTAAATCTGCGTTTTGGAGTTAATGCAGAAACACTATGGAAGTTTGGTTTTTCAGAAACCAATTGGAGGATACATTTGTGGCAAGATATTAGCACAAAAATACACAACCTTCCAATTGTCCTGCTGAAAACGGACATCACTCAGTTATCTAAGTAACACCACCTGAGCAGATAAAATGAAAATATGAGTCAAGTAAATTACAACTCCAAAATAAAACACAACAATTTGATAGGATACAAACCAACATCAACAGGTCTTGGTGTTTATTTCACATCCTCTGCATCAGATTGACTTATACACTTGCTTTAGTCACCAAGAACAGCAATAGTATTGTCGGTAACAACAATGCAGAGAATAATATTCTATCCCAGTCTTGCAACACATCAAGACAAATTCAACAACCAACTGAAACATTGAGTTTCACTTTCTCGCTCTTACAATGTCAGAAAAACATAGCATGTACAAGTACCTCAGAGCTTCTTCAAGTTCTGTTTCCTCTTGTTTTACTTTATTTCAACTCAAAAAGTCTCTCATCGAACACCCAATGTTGATAATGTTTCACTGGTTAGACAAACATTGGGACATACTTGTAAAAAATAATTGCAGACTTTCAGCAGGCCAGAATCCATAAAAGGAGAACGTGGAATCCTACTTCCATGGCTGCTTGAAACAACCTATGCCATTGAATTGAAAAAGAAACAAATATAACATTGCACCATCATCTATACTCTGTGCTGAGTTGATTGTGTATTTCATTGTTGCTTGCTGAGGCTACCAACTGTTCTAAATGAAGACTTGTCTAGCCTAAATGGGTTGTATCCCGTAAGTTAGTCAATAATTATTAGTTGATTTGAAAACCTATCAGGAGTGAAGGCATGATGTAACATGCACTTTTGCGAGACTCTATAGTCTTGCTACAGTACTTTGAAATACTGTGATAAAAATCTAGCTTTATTTTTTTTTTAAGGCACTCTTCTAGTCAAAGGAGGATGTTTTTGTCCCCAAAACCTACTAATCCAAATTTCTTTTATAACTGATTTTAAATTAATGGAAATGTTCAATCAATTATCAGCCAGATAAATGAAACCAATAACAAAAATGTGTAGGCATTTCTCATCATTATTAGAATGATTGAAACGAACACTAAAACGCTAATGCAAGAGCTTTATGAAAAGAAAATTAAAATTAGTCCACTCAAGCAATCCACATTATCTCCCTTACATAACTATTAGATTCATGAGAGGATAGGAAAAAGTTTCTCTCAATCATTTGCCATCGAACCTATTCACCACCAGTTATGTAGCTTTTGTCCATACATTGCTTTTAGAGGAAGAGCTTCAAATTACTTGCTCATTGCAAACGAAGATGAAACCCTGAAACTCTCTTGGTATGACTAAAAAGCTTTTGGTTGCCCTTAATATATTGGTGTTGTTTTTTTGTTGTAATATAAATTGCAGCTTCATCTAATGTAAGCTGTTGATCGGATACTAGCTAGTTTATGCCTCCTTTCAATACTATATGCATAACGAACTTCTATGATTATTAGGGCTGACATCTAGACAAACCATAGCTTCAAATCTCCCTCTATATGAATACTTATTCCTCAAGTCAGATGGTAGGAAAATTATGCAAGAACTTAGAACTCCACTACTGCAGGTTACACAAAAAGGAAAAATTTTCCTCAGATGATATGTACAATTTGACAGTGTTCAAAGTTCATAATTTTGATAGGACAAACAAAACTTAGTTTTTATGCCCAAAAGTTTGCTCACCACAAAAAAAAACATACAATGTAATTCCTTTATCAACCAGATCAATAAAGCTGACATTGAAATTCACAATAAACAGTTAGTTTGCCAAACTACGCTAGCCAAGCTATCTAAAATCCCGGTTTGAATTGAATTTAACTGCTGGAGAATTAAGACATCCTATCTATTTCAGAGAGTTGGCAATAAGGTTGGCATACGATGTAACAATAATAAAGCTGCAGATTATATAAAAAAATGGGAAATAAAGCTGTTGTTACATATGATTCAAAAAGCTTATTAAGCTATTAATATGGTATAGTTATTTCAAAAAGTTATGTTAACTGAGGGTATTTATAAAATGAAAGTTTCGACAGGAAGAGCGTATCTTAGTACAGGGTGAGCTCCAAACATAAATAAATGGCAGATAGCCTGAAGTACGGAAATGTTTAAAACGGTTCTGGACTACAGCCTAGCGACTTAGGTGGTACATAAAAAGCTAACCATGTGTTGAGATACATCTATTCTTCCTCTCAACTTTAAGTCCAGATCTGAAATATCCCACCAAAAATATCAGAACATGACTTTTTATAAAACTTATAGACATTAAACTTTGTAAAATTTAAAAATTATTTTGTAACCAAACAATTAAATATAAATACAGAATTCTAACTTAAAATAAAATTCCAAATGAAAATAGCGATAAAGCTTAACTTATAAATAATTCTAATTAAATGTAGGTGGGGTCAGAAGGAACAACTACATTACCAAACACAATGGGTCACAAAGACAAATTCCAACACAACACATTTGATGAATACTGGATGTATTTTAAAACACTAATTCCATTACAAAATTGAAAGTAGATAATCTTCAAGAGTGACAATGACAACAATTCCTGGTGAAACCGTTCTGTCTCCACGCAGAACACAATTTTAAGATTATGAATCTGAACACACCGACAATTATCAGCAACTTAACTCCAGTAGAGATCATCTCAAAGAGTACAAAATAATAACATATCAGGACGACGCCTAGTCAAGTGAACTACCAGTTAAAACATGAGCTGAAATCTTGTACATCGAGAACCTAAACACTAAACACTGAATGTCTGTGGGTCATTGGAACAATAAAACAGTAACTGAGGGTCAGTTACTCACTGAGTTAGTAGTAACGGACGTCTAGAGTACGGCCATCCCATCTCACTCTGTCCATCATATCTGAGAGAAAGGGTCAAGGATCATATGTCAGAGTCAGTGTAAATGTTAAATAAAATTAAATACAGTCTAACCTTAATATAACGAACCTCGATATACAGTAGAACCCCTCATATCCGGCCTTGGTTTTACCGGTCCTCTGTTTATCCGGCCCCTTCCAGGAAGCCAATATCAAAATTTTTTTTCTCACAGCTTACAGACATTTAGATGCAGCCACTAGTCTTTGTGACTGCTCAAGTCATAAAATAAATTGTTCTCATTATTTATCTGTTTGTTTATACATTTATTTGCTGAGTCACTATACTCAGTTGAGCTAGTAGGCCTAACCTCTGATCAGTTGGTTGATTATTTCCAAAGTGGGGTTAGTACAGTACAGTACGAGTACATTAATTTTTGTATTTCATAAAATGGTTAAGAATGTTAAGTAGAAATGCATGTACCATTTAAGTCCTAATGATCTTTAAGTAGGCCTACAATTTATTGTCATTTTTACCTCCATTTGATAGGTTTTGTTACCTGGAATCATAATATTTGTACACTCATTACTTAATGACTTTAACCTACAAATATTTTTTTTTTCTTTTTACAAACATGTTTATTTTTCTAAAAATGATCCCAGAACAGAATTAAATTATACTTTTGATTGCATATATTGATTACCTATTATTATTAGGTATGAATTATCATTTTCATAGTAGGTTGGTTTATCCGGCCAAATCGTTATCCGGCCAGGGGCTTAGTCCCGTGGTGGCCGGATATGAGGGGTTCTACTGTAACGAATTCCTTGATATAACAAATTTTTTTTAATCCCCTAGAACTCTTGATAAGACACAATGAATATTTTACCTCTACATAACAAACAAACCATAACAACGACCATGATTTAACAAATTTTTCGTGATTTCGGCTAAAATAAGACACCTCAATGTAACGAATTTGTCATTGTCAGAACCTCTACATTGCGAATTTAACCTCTGCATAACGAATTGTCTACGTCTTTCCCTCGATATAACAAATCCCCCACCCAATTATTGTTTTGGGAAAATCTGTTTCTTTATCAAATTAAATGGAAAGGTCACGTCATCGCTTGCGCTAACATTCGTCTGCTCCGTTTTACATCTTTGTCTGCTGTCGCTGCGCGCCCTATGTTGCAACTGAGAACTGATTTCATTCACTGAGGACTGATGACGACGTAATGTTTAGTAAGCTGTGATTGGGCGATATGGGATAACTATGGTGAATTGTACAATTTTTGGATAAAGAGAAACCTAAGAAAAAATATAAAAACAATACCCCTGCCGCAGCAAACCTGCCGACTAAGCGAATTTCCATTTGTCTTAATTGATTTTAATTAAATATATTTTAATAACATTAGGTTTAACGAGTACCTAGGTTTGCTGCTACAAGGATACTAATAAAGTGTGTTTTTTGTAAAATATTGATAGCTTAGTACAAAATAAATAAATTTGATCGAAATACAAAATATATCCATAAACAAGCAAACTACAACATTTTACAATATTCTCCATAAGAATAACATGGGAATTTTAAATTTACAATTTTTTAATTTTCTCCGTTACTATTAACCGAACAAAAATACTTTTATATACTAAATTAATTGTTTTTTTAAGCTCTTTAAAAAGGTCTAAAGAGAAATTGGGAAATTTTGTGTTTTGAGGGTCAAAACAGAAAAACCAATTATTACCCCATAAACCCCCCGTAAAGCCCCGTTCCCATGGTCCGATCATGCTGGTTCGCGAACTCATTCAAGTTTATCCCGCTTTACACCTTTAAACCAAATTTCATCAAAATCGGACAAAAATTACTCAAGTTATCGCGTTCACGGACGTATATATATTTATATATATATATATATATATATATAAGTCTATATATATATATATACAGGGTGAGTTTCTACTGACCGTGTTAACTACCGGTTCTACACGAACCGCAGGGGGCTCACGCTTGCGTGGGTTCGTGGCCTGGGCGACCACGCGGACCCTAGCTCTCCCAGAGGGGAGGTAACTGCCCGGTGTCAGACCCGGCACTTCAGGTAGACCACAGTTATGGACGACTGGTAAGCGCCAGCCCCTTAGGGGGAGCCTCCAGTGACATTCCCTCCATTCAGGGTGGGGGGGGTGTTTAGCTCTCAGTGACGCCGTTAATTCCGCCTCTCCTCAACTACCTGTAACTGTGGTTGTGACTGAGTCCTACCTGTTGTGTTCGACTGACATTTTGTGAGGCATATCCTCGACTTTGGAAGTAGCCTCGTCCTGGGAGGTGAAATACCTAGCCCCCAGAGGGGAGGTAAATGCTCCGTGTTGGTATCGGCATTTCAAGTTGGCCACAGACATGGTCGACTGGGCATCGGGTCCCAGTGACATTCCTTTATCCAGGATGGAGGGGTGTTTAGCTCTAGGAGAGATGGAAGTACATCATAATCTCTAACCTACCTGTGTCTGTGGTACTTTGGGCTTCGGCCTGCTTGTGGTGTGCGACCAGCATTCAGTGGGCAAATCCTCGACTTTGGAAGTAACCTTTCCTGGAGGTGAAAACGGGCAAGTACCCGCAGCTCACGGGGACACTCAAGGGCAACGTAACTTTCCGCAGTGTGAGGGCAACGGTTTGTAGGTACTTATGCAAACCTATCCCTGTCTCTGAGCACGGACGGTATGGTTATCTTGAGTGTGGGGGGTTCTTCCCGGAACCTCAATTGAGTCAAGGGTGTCGCCACCTCTGGTGGATAGGTTCATCCGGGTGGGTCCCACTTCTATACCTGCCTCCTTTTGGGAAACCCTGATGGCCTGGCAGTGATGTTGGGTCTGACGGGCAAACGAAGTAGATCGGGTGCTGGGTCCGAGCCCGCCAGGGGTATCTGGGGATCTATCGCTCTGGATATCTCTGGTTCCCAGCAATGGGTCAGGCCTCGATCGGGCAGCGGTGTAAATGGGAGGTTGGGGTTCCCCCCGTCAGCGTGCTGATGGTCCCCTTCCTCCTGGCTATTGATGGCGGGTTCTGCCTGTCAGGGATGAGATAGGTCCCGAGTGTTGCTTGCACTAAATGCGTCGGGGCGCTCTACTATGGACCTCTAGGTTCCGACCTAGTGGAACCCAGGTGGAGTGACGCTTAAACAAGCAGCCGGAATCCCTGGTTAGGATTGAGGGGCAACCCTCTTTCCGAAGGGTCTGCTTCGGCAGCCGGCGAGCCTGATGACCTTAAGTCATCCGCCCATGATGTGCTAAAGGTTGATGCGTAAGCTTCGGCCTACATCATGGGGCCCGGGTATGTCCTGGAGGATAGGTACCGGGTAAGCAGTCAGGGGGCTTCGGCTCTCATGACAACAAATAATAATAATAATAATAATAATAATGACCGTGTTAACTTTGCCAGTGGGTTCTACTCACTAAAAGGAACAAAAAAGTTAATGGGAAGGTATGTCCAAAAATTCATATTTACCCAGATATCCGCCATTTTGTTTTTTATACAAAAATATTTTTATCTGTGAAGTTTTTTATTCGATGATTATGAAACTTGGTAAACATGTTACCATACACAAGACCTATAATAGAAAAAATAATAAAGCTATTCCGATTGTAAATTTCAAAATGGCGGCCGTTTGAATTTTTCTAACTTAAATAACTCGAAAACGGCTAATTCTATGAAAAATTCAAACAGCCGCCATTTTGAAATTTACAATCGGAACAACTTTATTATTTTTTCTATTATAGGTCTTGTGTATGGTAACATGTTTACCAAGTTTCATAATCATCGAATAAAAAACTTCACAGATAAAAATATTTTTGTATAAAAAACAAAATGGCGGATATCTGGGTAAATATGGATTTTCGGTCATACCTTCCCATAAACTTTTTTGTTCCTTTTAGTGAGTAGAACCCACTGGCGAAGTTAACACGGTCAGTAGAAACTCACCCTGTATATACATATATAAAAATTTGAACGAATTGTGTTTTTGGCCTCTGGGGACATCAAAATGAAAAAGTAAATCGGTCCCGGGTCTAGGTCTTCCGTGCCACCTACGGTAATAGCTACTTCCCTATAGGGAAATTCGCTAAAACCAAAGGAGGGTTAGAACAAGCTGTGATTTTAAACTTACAGCTTTTAACCTGTACCAAGGTCAATGCCATTGTCATGATTGCGCAATATTCAAGATCCCTCCCCTTTATTATGCCGGATAATTTAGGTTCTACTGTACAATGTAAACACTGTACTGTAAAGTATTGTAGCCTATGCTACTTTAATTGTATTTTAATGAGGTCAAATCCCGACCTATATTGACCGACGCTGGTTTTGAACCTCGACTTACAAAATTCCTGCAAACCTAACCTCTATATAACGAACCTCGTTTTAACGAAATCCTTGATATAACGAATATTCAGTTCGGTCCCTTCAGATTCGCTATACTGAGGTTGGACTGTACCTTAATTCAGTATTGATATTAAAAACTGAATGAAATATAATTGTTACTAGTCATTTAAGTTAAAGAATACCTTAAGAGCCAAACCATAAAAAAATTAAATAAAAAAGGACATTAAAAAAAGGCATAAAACGTTTTCTTTACATGTAACCGCTTATAGGATTTTGACTAAATCGTCCAGCTACTTTGACTGATAGATATGTAGAGAAACAGAAATGTTGAATGCAAATTTCCTGTTAAAAAAGTGAGCTTATAGTGCCCTCGAGGTGCGACTTAAACACAATTAATTATAATTATTAATTAGGGATGTGTCAAATCCGAATCTCGAATCCTAAGGAAAGATTTGGATTTGAGATTCAATTAACAAGATTCAAAAATCAACAATTTTTTTTAGGGATGGTCAAGTCTCGAAATTTCGGGATATTTTCGGGAAATTTTATATCTCGTTACACGAGACGAGATTTCTTTTTGGCCGAGATTTTTATCAAGACAAGAATAAAAAAAAAAAAAATTAAAAAACGCCTGCAGAAAGTCAATGCAATACCCGCAATACAGGAGCGATTTT